TCGTTGTACCTGCATACTTCTGGTAGTAGAGAGCCCTGCTGTTGCCCGACTCACTACCACGCTCAACCTTTTGAGGTCTTATGTGGTTTCCCACTCCAAGTTTCAGGGTTGGGTTGCCGGTCTTCTCTCACGCTACAAATGAACCATACAGCTCACAGAAATCACAGAATGCGCACTCTGCCTACGAAATCACAACACCCCATAGCGCTCACTAACATTCGTAGTTTAAATAGAAATGGTAATTCTGGTAATTCTGTTTCTACAATCTTCTTCCCCTTGGCTTTATTTTTGACGGAGGCACAAATCTCCCCCTCGTCAGGCACTACTCATCTTCAGTTCCCTAATTACTTCCTCCATTCTTCTTTTCTTTCTAAAGCTGATGTCTGTGCCTATATCCATCATTCTGTCGCTTCTTCTCTTGACTTTCACACTGAGACTTCTCTAACGGTGAATTTCAGCTTATGTCGCTGAAACTTCGATTCCCTTCTTTCAACCACTATTTTTGTACTGTTTACCGCTTCCCGATCAGCAGTGATCCTTCCATTTTTGATATTCTTTCTGTTAGCATTGAGACACTAATGTTGGTAGATTCTGACAGCCGAGTCATCATTGTCAGAAATTTCTCAACAAGGAATGGCTGAAGCACTCCTCCTTCATGGGACGCGAAGCCGAGGCTTTTGCTGTGGTCAACAACTAGTTGACCTCCTCACACGCATCCCTGATCGTATTGCTGACCGCACCCACACCCTTGATCTCATTCTCACATCCATTCCCTCTTCTTTCTCCAACATCACTTCCCTTTCCCCATTAGGCTTATCGGACCATTGTCTCATTTCTTTTCTCACTCCATTTCACCACCAAATTCCAGACGCACCTTTTGGCGTTACGATTCAGCCAACTTGGACGGTTTTCGTAACTTTCTGGCTTGTTATCCCTGGAAGGATTGTTGTTTTAAATCGGATGTTTCCAAGTCTGTTTCAAACCTCACGGAGATTGTTCTTCAAGCATGTGCCTTTGTATTCTACACTTCTCCAAACCCGGCAAATCACGATCCCCTGATTGGTTCACTCATGCTTTTAACCGTGCTGTACGTTTTAAAAACTCAGCATTCCCTCGTTGGCGCCATTCACCCAATCCAGCATCCCGCAACCACTTCATGCAAGCCTGAAACAAGTGCTCGATCATTATTCAGAGAGCTAAAGAACGCTTCATTTGTCACAAAGCTGTGCGCTGGGCTTCTTCCGCTACTGGTAACCGGACATTCTGGTCCCTCGCTAAAGTGCTTTCATGTAATTTCTACCCTTCCAACTTTCCTCCCATTTGCCTCTCTGGTACTCTTGTTTGTGATCCCCACGAAAAAGCAGCGCTCTTCGCTTCCCGGTTTGCCTCCAACTCCACTTTATCTGCTGCCTCTACTGTTCAACCCTTCTCCTACACATCCAGTCACTCCTTTCTACCTATCACAACAACCAGAAAGGTCCACTAAACTCTTCGCGGTTTGGATGTTTGTAAATCATCCGGTCCGGACGTCATTCCACCTGGCCTTAAAATGTGTGCCCCGGGGTTAGCCCCTGTTCTACGCCGCCTTTTCTGTTATTCACTCGAACTTAAATCTTTCCCTACTCCATGGAAAGATGCCATTATTTTTTCAATCCCAAATCGTGGCGACCCTTCCGACCAAACAACTACTGTGCCATTACTCTTACATCTGTAATCTCGAAAGTGTTTGAAACCATTATCTCTAATCAGCTGCGTACGCTTCTAGAACGCGAAGGTTTGCTACGTGACCGTCAGTATGGATTTTGCCCTCGTCGATCTACGGGTGACTTACTGGCGCTCGCATTACATTCCTGGTCGGCTGCACTCGATAACCATGGAGAAACTCACATAGTCTCGTTCGACATTTTAATGGCCTCCGACCGCGTTTATCATGAAGGTCTGCTGTCGAAATGATCCACGTTCGGATTCCACCCGTTTCTGGTATCGTGGCTTCTTTGTTTCCTCAGCAAGCGAACCATCTCCGTCCGAGTAGATGGGGTCCTATCTCGGTCATTTCCCGTAAACGCCGGTGTTCCCCAAGGTTTTATACTTTCACCCACTCTTTTTCTCCTATTTATCAACGGTCTTTTATCCCAATCATCTAATCCTATCCACTGCTTTGCCGATGATGCCCCTCTCAGTTGTTCTCTTTCCCATTCTACAATCCGTCAAGCTAATACCAACATCGATCACGATCGTAATGTCATTAGTGCTTCTCTTGCCTCCGATCTCGAACTAATCTCCGCATGGGGTTCTACCGACCATGTGTGTTTCAATGCTTTCAAAACTTCTCTCCTCTCCGTCTCTCTTGAATATGTCTCCTTTTCTCCTCAATTGATTTTTGACTCTCCACTCTTTCGCTCCACAAATTCTCTCTTCCTCCTGGGTTTATCCATAGATTGTTTTTTCTGTTGGTCCCCTTTAATCTCTACACTTGCCTCTCGCGCTGCGCGCAAAGTAGATTTTTTATTCCGCGCAAGGCGTTTCTTTACACCCAAGTATCTTCTTTTATACAAAGCTCAAATTCGCCCGATTCTTGAGTGCTGCAGTCACGTATGGGGTGGGGCATCGTATGCCCCTCTTCCTCTCCTCGACTGTGTTCAACGTAAATTCATCCGGCTGATCGACAAACCGTCTTTAACTGCCACCTTGCAGTCGCTTCCCCATCGCCTTGCAGTTGTTTCGTTATCTCTTTTCTATCGTTACTATTTTGGTTTCTGCTCCTGCGAACTCTCTTCAGCGGTCCCACTTCCATTGACCTTCTCTCGTCCATCTCGTTCTGAGGCCACCAGTCACCCTTATCAGGTTTCTGTCCCTATATGTCGGACTTCTATCTTTTTCTCGAAGACTGCGAAAATGTGGAACATTCTTCCCATTTCCATATTCCCCAGCTCTTACAACCCTATCCTTTTTAAAAGCAGGATTAATGAATTGGTTCTTACTTGAATGTTCCACCACCTACATTCCCCTTACAGTATATCACTGATTCTGGGGTTTATCCCTTTAGCTGTAAATCACTTTGTGTGTAATAAAAAAGCCTAAGGGTCTACGGTGGGCTTAGTAAGTTGTTCGAAACCAAGAACAGTGTTCGTCAAGGTTGCCTTATTTCGTTATTGCTGTTCAATTCCGTCGTAGACGGAATATTTGGTCTCCAAAGCATCGGTATTGAATGATCAGTTAGGAAATGCTGTGTGATTTAGAGTACGCTCAAGACATCGTATGCCTGTCCGCATGTATGGAGGATAATCAAAGCGCTCTTGACAGACTAGCAAGTTTTGTATCTCCTTTCGGCATGCGCTTTACACCTTCGAAGTATAAAGTGATGCTACAGGACTGGATGTCATTACCCCCAGCGCTGATGCTTGATGGTTAAGAATTAGCTGTAGTGAAATGTTTCACCTACTTAGATAACTGCGTTTCAAATGACGGTAGCATAGTCAATGAAGTAACCGCCCGCATTTCCAAGGCTCGAGTAGATTACGCAGGATTGAAACACCTTTGGTACAGACGCGATGTTTCGTTGAAACTGAAAGGTCGTGTACACTACGCCAATGTGTGATCGGTTCTGCTCGATGGTTGCGAGACCCTAAGTTTGCGCGTGGAAGATATTCGTCGTCTCGAAGTATTCGACAGCAGATGTTTACATAGTTTGGCACAGATAGGATGAAGCGAGCTTGGATACAACTCTGAGGTAAGTCGTGGCGTATTTGGGAATATATATATATATATATATATATATATATAAAGTAATTAGAAAAACTGGAAAATAGTCTGTTCTGAAGGGAAATGACTTTTCTCTATCTAATTAGTGGAATAATATCGGTTAGATGCAGCGCTTCAGGTAATCACACTTGCGCATAGGGACAAGTGCTTGACTTCCGTAGATTGTCATGGTCGAGGTGTGAGTTACCCGTGTCATCAGGTAGGGATTCCCTGTGTGCCAATCCGAGTTTCGGTTGCATGAAAACCGAGTGTTATCAATTAAGAATTAATATAAAGGTATGTGAATTCTGACCAGTATTCCCGTTTGAGGACCCGGGGGATCAGTTGGAGTAGTCCTCATAGACATTGAGCCAATTCAGTGAGTCACGTGAACAGTGTCGCTCGTGCATCTACTCAATCTCTTCAAATGCGTTCTATGCATTTATCCTGGTACCATTTCGAGCTTCTTTTTTCCTTCATATTCTGCTTCATCCAAGTAGGTCACCAAAAGGCAGCGACCGAAGCAGCCTCATGACAATGCAAGGTTGATTTCTGTATTCACTGAAGAATAAGCTGTCTTATTTAAAATCACAAAAGTGCCCAAATGATAAGTGTTCCTGTTATCTACTTCCATTCTTTCTCTTTACAGACTTCTCTGGTCACAATCGCATTGTGCAATCCATTGTCACTTGCCATCCTATCCAAATACGTTCTGATGGCCAAAGCAGCCGTTCGACCCAAACTTGTAAGTTATACATTCTCTGTCGAATACATGCGCCATCCATTCTTCTATTCTCTTACCGCTCAGTAATCCGGTCGACACTTACTAAACGTAAATCACTGGTGGCCTCAGCCGGTGTGACTGTCATCTTTTTGCCAAAATCCTTTGCTGAATTCAAAAGAAGATACAAGTAATTGAGGACTTTAGCAAGCATACAATGGCTACTGCTAACGAATAATAACTGTCGTATAATATTTATTACACTGAAGTTAGGTGATTCGCATGAATCCGACTCCGAGAGCTTGCTCGGATCTTAAAAGACCATTCCGTTGGTTACAATTTTACAATTTATCATAAAAAGGGTTTAATGAATCCTCTTCCAACCGGTTACTATCATTACAATCGGTACACAAATTTACCGGGAACATGCTTTTTTTGTCTTCAGGCGACTAAAACCTTTCACAGAGGTTACGGATGGTGGCTGTTTACGCGCCTCATTCTGTGATTAGGCCATCCAGTTTCCGACTCCTCTCTGTGTTCCGCTTAAGCATCGCAGATCCGTAATTCCTTTATTACCTTTGGCTGTTAGCCTGTCTACTGCGTTTTTGTCGAAAGCTCCACGTGGGCCAGTGCAAGATTTTGTTGCATACGGTCGATAATTAGGCCTCTGAGAGTGACCGAGTGGTTTTTTTAGAAAGGTGATTAGGCTTTTTTAATCTGTCAAATCGGAGAACGTTGTGATTGATGATACAATCACAAGTTCCCCATGTGATGAAGGTACCTTGTTCAAGGTGCACAATCCTGAGTTTCTTACCAGTAAAATTTTCTGTTGTTTATTTGTTGTAGTGTCCTTTCTAGCATTTAACGTGCACAGTCAGGAAAACCGATGAGTGTACAATCCGCAGCCCTTGTGAGGTAGTTTTGTCTGGTCTGTCCTCATTTTGTTCGGCTATACTTCAAAGCGGTGTTTTTTCACCCTATCTTTTTGCGGCTCATATTACTGACTTACCTCTTACTCCACCTCTGCGGCATTTAAAGTATGTAGATGATATCGCCGTTTATGTTTCCGTGTGTAACCAATCAGAACTGGCTACATAGAACAAACATATTTCACTTTATCCGGTCCTAATCCGAATCGTGAAAAATGTCTGAAACGTCTTCACTTTGAATCGTTCTCTATCTGCCTTCGACATCTGAAAGTAACCTTTGCTGGTCTTTACATACCGAAACTATTGTTCAATAATTGGAAGCTCTCCTTTCGAATAAGGATATTGCGTCATTTCTATTCTGATTTGTCGATTATTAGTTCAACAATGTGTTCTACCTTTACGGCTCATCATCATCATCATTGTACAGCGTAATACAGTGAAGCGAAATTCACCGATCTCTGCCAAACTCGTAATGCATACAAGTTGAGAATTTGCAAGCCGACGGATTGGGCCTATTTTTAGAGACGGGAACGAAAGCGAATCTGTATGATCAACAGATGGTGCTCAATTCAATTGTGCATGCACATATCAGCATTCTAATCTGATAAGAAATGACAACAACAACAGCGCCACTGCTGTCGGTTTTCTGTCGTGGCTTTTACTGTCTCTAACCATCCAGTTACGGAGTCTTTTGGGCCTCGACCGGGAAGACGAGAGACACCTACTCGACCTAATCACTCTGCATTTCTTTCATACCTCGTCTGCACGTCATCTGCGCGCCTCCACGTGGCTTCCTGGGTCTGGAAGAGCCACTGCAAAAAACGCCCAGTGCGATAGGTGAACGTTAGACATACGTAAAACGTGTCCTAACCAACGGAGTCCATTGAGCTGAATTCGATGCGCTTGCGAGTTCTTGTTCGATGCATTCCCAAACACCCGACGACTTGCCTCTAGGTTACTAACCCGCTCACCCCATCCCACTTGGACCAGACTTCGTAGGCATCGATTATCGAAAACCACTAGGCGAAGTATCTTTTACCCGCAAATCCAAGGTCTCACAACCGTAAAGCAGAATTTATCGTACTCAAGTGCAGCATACGCGACCTTTCAACTTCAGTGAAACGTCACTTCGCCGTCACAGGTGTTGAAGTCCTGCGTACGCTGCTTGAGCCTTGGAAATGCGTGCAGTTACCTCTTTTAATGCGCTACCGTCGTTGGTGACGCAGCTACCTAAATACGAGAAGCAGTCAAGTTCAGACAATTCTTAATGTCTAGTTTCTGAGGGGGACTAGGTGACACCGTTTTAGAGCATCGCTTTGCACTTAGAAGATGCAAAGCACATACCGAATGAAGCGACAGAGCTTGCTGGTCCCTTAAATTCATCGTTCTTCATACATTCGAACAGGCGAACTCGAAGCTCCACAGCTTTTCTCCAGATTCTGTTGAACAGTATCTGTGATGGTCATATTGATGCATGCTTGAGGTTGCTGACGGAATCCTGTTTGATTTCTCCCACCCTTTACACATTGATCTGTGTGCCTCAGTATGGTCGGGTGTGGGTGTCTAGGGTTGCGGTTGGTCACCATTCCCTTGCACCTCACGAAATGCTCCCATGCGGCCAAGCGTCAGAAAACCTCTGCTGAGGAAGCCCTACTCACTGCCTTCTCGCGGTGGAGGTGTTTTCCCACCAAAGTGAGAGGACGAAAAGCCGATATCCGGGTTGGTGGACCACTGGTAGTTCACCTAGGGGAATTGGCTAAAAACCCTGATTCCAAACCAACCGAAAGGAGGCGTACGAATCACACCCACACCTTTTCGGTTGTGGCAATGGTCACTGGCTCGATTGGGCATCGAGGTGTATTGGGCACCTTGGATGTTTGATCCCGTCCGGAGGGCGTACGATCCGTTAAACTGGACACCGGCTCCTAATGGACTACGGTTTTCACACACCGCCGCGCTGCCTTGCGGGTCAGGCTTTGGCTAGTCGAAGGCTCCAGTTGTGGATTCCCCAAGAAAATTCACCTGCCTTGGCCTGAACAACCCGGCAGTATTCAACCCACGTGCAAATCATGGAACGTTTGTCTTGTTTATAATGATTATTGTACCATGATTTGTTTGGCGCACAGTCTGTCCTCAGACAAGAGTGATATATATATCAAACCGTTCTAAATGGAAACTCATTCCATCTCGGATATTGTATTGTATTGTATTATAAATGACTTGTGCAGGCCACTGTGCCAACATTTGAATCAAAAAATGTGTTCATCATTACAATGAGATAAAAATGAAATGAAAGTTAATATATAAGAATGATAAAACTTAAATAGGTGATCATCTTTGTGAGTTTAGAATTAGTTCGTTACTGATCTTCACCGTGTCAGTAAAATACGAGCTAGACAGGGAACCGTTGAGGTACGATAAATGTTTATGCTGGAAGGCAAGCAGCGAAAATTGGATCGGATTGAAGCGTGGAAATGGCAAGCAGATAAATAGGGATTGAGTGGATGACTGAGGTCATTGAGTATCTAATGAGCGAAATTCTCACATGAAGTGATATGCAAATTTCACAATTTTGTGATCAGAGTGTTTAAAGGAATAAGAAAAACATGGCTGATAAATACTAAACCGCGACGTAGAGTAATGAAGTCCTTTCTAAGTGGTCTAGGGAAAATAACGGTCGAACAATAATGTATGACAGGAAAAATGCATTGATAAGCAAAGGAACACAGTTTCATGCCTCACTCGAAATTGTCGTCGCTTGCGTATTTGAAAAGATAAGCGACACAGTCTACGAACACAAGCAAGTACATGAGAGGACCACCGTAGATTACTATCTATGGTGACTCCTAGGTATTTCGTGGTATGTTGTCTGGTGATGGGTAAGGAATTGATGGCTTAGGGTTCCAGGAGGTATTCGGATCGGGAAAGATTAAAAATGCATTCAGAGCATTTAGAAGTATCCAGCCGGAGACCGGATTGGTTCAAAAATGATTGCACTTGCAACAAAGGGTCGGAAAATGGTTAAATGCCCGATCAGTTTGAGATGGCTCGATATACGACCACATCATCACCATACTTGAAGGGCTTGGCTTGTGGGTAAGTCACTGATGAAAGTAGAAAATAAGTAGGGGGAGAGCACAGCATCTTGAAGGACTCCAGAATTATTCATTAACGGTTTTGAAGTAGTGCCATTTGCTTTTATCCTTAGAGTCCTTCCTGTGAAATAATCTTTCAACCATGACAACAAGCTGGTGGGCAACAGAATGACTCTAACTTTCGCAGGAGAAGAGATCATGGAATGGAGTCGAAAGCCGAGTAATAGTCAGGGAAAATACAACGAACCGACTTTTGAGAACTATCTAAAGATTTGCAAATAAAGTGCATCATTGAAGAGACGGCAACCAAAGTGCATCTATTTGGCTTGTACGCAAACTGGAGGGGGTCACCGAGAACAATCATACCAGATTGCAAGCGGGTGAGAATAGCTCGCTCTGCAAGTCTAAGCCCAGAGGAGGTGATGGCGATAGGACGAAAACGTTTAGATAAAATGCTAGGTGAAGAGGATTTAAGAATGCGAACAATGATGAACGGTCTCCAGGAATTTGGAATCGAACATGTGTAAATGGATTGGTTAATATGGGACGTAAACAACTCTGTGACTGAACCAGCGCCATATTTGAGCAATGAGGAAGATAAATCATCGGGGCCAACTGCATTCGTGGTTTTCGTAGTTTTAAGAAGATGGTTGACCGGGTCTATGGTAGATAGATGATGTATGGGGTACGGAGACAGGAGATCATTCGAAGGATAAATGAATGTAGCATTGAGGCTGTCCATGTCAATAATTTAGTTTGTTGTCCGTTTCCTCTTTCTGCAAAGCAATCTGATCCCTTGCCATAACCGTCTTCCATCTCCAGCTCCCAGAACTTGCTTTGCAAATGAAGCATTCAGTCTTCCTATCTGTGCCCTGGTCTCCAGTGTAAGCTGTTTGACAGTGGCTGTTTGATGCACCTTGAGCGCTAGTTCATTTTGTCTTCTAAGAGTTTTTAACCGCAGAGAACATACTATGCCAATGTGAATAAAAGCTGTTCCCATAGGAGAGCATCGATTGAAAATCACATTAGCTGTTTCTGTAAAGTGTTCAACAGAACAAGTAGACTG